AAGATGGTATTATGTCCTCTGCAACTGGAAGTTACAGGAAGTAACGGGACATGAACAAACCAGTGAGAGTGCTGGCAACTGACTCTGATACTCCATCAGAGCAGCAAGTGTTCTTAATCATTGATCTGTCTCTCCAGATAACCATATATTAATAAAATTCAAATTTCTATATTTTTTATTTTGCAAAATTAACAAGTGTGTTTACCCCAAGGATTGAGTATCCCTATTTGAGCCCCCGTTTTTTTCTTTTTGCTATGTATAGATATCCAATGGCAAGAGGTCCTCCCCAGAATCTCAACAGACTGTCTATGTACAAGAAAGGTAACAAAAAGATTATTAACTGGCATTGCAGCATTTTATCCATATATTATTAGCAGGTAATAATGTCACATCAGAAACAAGAGAACTCCTGTTTCTTTGCACTCTTTGGAGAGGTTAGTCTACTCATAGCCAAAGAGCAAAGGGATCTCATCCTGAAATGATTGCAAGGATAAGTGTCTCCAATTAGCCAGCCTTTTGAGAGATGAAGATGGGCAGACGGTACACTCTTAGTCCCTAACAATAAGAAATGCATCTATTTTTGCCAATAACAAGAGATTCATCTATTTGCTTTCTGAAGAATCATTCTGGAAATCTTGGTTGTTTTGAAATATCATTTAATAGAAATCCTTCCTGCAAGTAACTCATCTATGAGTCAAGAGAATAGTTACAAATATTGTACTAATATTTAAGTTGATAAAGCTGAGTGTGGTTAGTCAAATCACACCTTTAATTCCAGTACTCAAAAGGAAGAGACAGGAAGATCCTTGGGGAGTGCAGTCTAGTATAGTCTACGTATCAAGTTCTAAGACAGACAGACCTATATAGTGAGACACTGCATTAAAAAAAAGCAAGCAAGCAAAGCAAAGCAAAACCCCAAACCAATAAGACAAAGAAGCTGAACACCTAAAACTTTAGAACCTATCGCTGTTTTTGTTACATTTTATAAAAAGTGATCTTGTGATTGTACAAGTGGTATTCATAATAAACATGTTTATGATGTTGGTAGTGGAATAAGACCCACTTAGAAGTTAACATGCAACCTATGTTCTCTTATGTAGTTTATGTATAGTGGTCAACATCTTTCTAGAAGTCTGTGAAGACACAGGGGCCATCTACAGTTTATTTAGCTAAGATGATGGTCTGATCATTCTATGCTGGTTTCTTCCATGGAGGGCCTCTGGACATTTTGTTCTCTTTATTTAATCAATTCCCTTTTGTCTCTCATCTTTAGGGAAGATTTTTGCTCCGGTTTGGCCATGTCTTCTCTCTTATTTCTATCCCATGGTCACAGGACACCTCTGATAAGTGAAAATCCTTTTCACAAGTTAAGGAATTTTCTTCATTATTTGTTAACTGCCCTAAACACTATCTATGTAATAATGATAAACTGAGAGAATGTACAGATGAATAAGAAACACATTGATCTTCCTTCCAACACACACACACACATACACACACACACACACACAGACACACACACTCACACACACAGACACACTCACACA